ATGATTCTCCAATTAACTGATTTACGATTTTATTGTGTGTAGAAAACAAAAACAAAAAAAAGAACAAAAAAACAGAAAAAAATAATAAGAATCTATTGGAAAAAAGGAATGTTCCAACATTGTTTGTTTGTTTCTCTCGGTTTTTCTCATCTATTTTGGAATATTGAAGAAAAAAAAGATTTTGTTTTACTATTGTAACAAAATATCACTTTGAATAATTACGCAAAACTATGTGCATATATACATGTGCGTGTATGTAAGTGTGTGTGTGTGTGTGAGAGTGTGCATGTGCATGTGTGTGTATATATATATTTATTCGTGTATATCGTATATTCTTTAATGAGAAATAAAAATAGACTTTCTAGTCGATGAATTGATATTCAATGAACAATTAATGAAGATATGGAATATTCTAAGAAATTGTTTACTTGAAGATTAGATGGTTTATAACATTGATAAATCTATCCATCTATAATTAAATTGAATCTACGATATTTAGAACAGAAATACTGAACTGAATGAAGAAAGAAAAAAACATAATTAGAAACATTTAATAGTTGAATTCATGATTCAATTAAAGCTAGACCACTATGGAAAACCTGGAAGCACTGGAAGGCCGTTTCATCTTGTTGTGGAACTCTTCAGCAATGTGCATCCACGACTATACGTCTCGAGATTCGAACCTCGTGCGTAAGCACTTAACCTCTAGACCAATGAACCGACCGGCATCCAACGGTGTTAATGTTTAACTTCAACTAATCCATGCAATTGAATGACACATCCACCATTGTCTTCAGTGAGTTCCTATCTCATATGAGACCAGGTTGAACTCCATTGGTCACAGCTGCTCAATAGAATTCCAGGAAATACGTCTTGGAGACCGTCACTAGCAAGCATATGATGAATATAATCAGAGAGTGGTTTTGCGGATAGTATAGTAATTTTTAATAGATGGATTTATGAGTCAATTGAAGTTAGACCACCATACTAGTCCCATACTAGAATGAAATAACCATCCATTAATTCCAGGTTTTCCATGGTGGTCTAGCATCAATTGACTGATGAATTCAACTACTAAAAATTACTAATAATATTTACAAAACCCCTTTTTGATTACAATTAGAAGCAATTTATTCAAATGGTGACTATTAACTCCCATCTTAAAAATAGTTTTCACAGAATTCAATTGTAAACTTCATGATTTATAATGTTAATTACACTCTACTTATTTGTGGCAATATAAAATAATGAACGTTACATTACTTAATAAGGTTCTCTCCTTAAGTTGCAAATATATATAGATTTTCTTTGTTCAGACTATGTAGTTAGGTTGTATCATAATGAACATTGATCTAGCGTAAGGGTTTTACAGACTAGTTATTTGGATAGTTTTTGATTTCCAAAAATGATTCACCTATGGATTTCAATTTCTTTGTGATTTCGTAGTATTTCGTGATGAAATCAATGTTTAACTGAATTCGAACTAGGAGAATAGGTGATTAAAGTTTGGGTATTTATTAATTCATAGTAAGGGAGAAAAAAGTCAAAGATCTTCATTGGATATTTCATACAAATAGAAGTATAATATAACTTATTTCCCAAATAAAGATATATGTTTACCATTCTAATTCATTTGATACTGCTTGGTAACTCAAATCAATGTTGATATTGTAGGGTATGAAATTAGTTATGCTTTTAGTGTGAGTAAATATATATATATATGTATATATATATATATATATATATATATATATATATATATATATATATATATATATATATATATATATATATATATATATAGCCGTATATATGCATACCCTACCAGAAGTGAGAAGACATATATGGGCAAGAATCGAAATGGTGTACAACAGCAAACTTTTTTATAACACAACTTAAAATGTCTTAATGTAATTTGCTCGGATTTTTAAAGTTTGGCAGATATCAATTTCATCAGAATGGGGGTTTGTGGGGATTGTAGTAATTTTAACATTTAAATTCATAAATCCATCTGAACTAGACCACCAGTGAAAAAATAGAAGCACTGGAAAGTCGTTTCGTTTTATTATGGAGCTCCTAAGTCGTGCGCATCCACGATCTCGCACGCAGCTCAGTGGTATGGGAAGTTAAGCGTTCTAGCGCGGGACTGAAAGTCCTAGGTTCGATTCCTGTGTGTAGGATCGTGGATACACATTGCTGGAGAGACCGATACCAGGACGAAATGGTTTTTCAATGCTTCCAGGTTTTCAACGATGTTCTAACATTAATCAGTTCATAATCTGAATCAGAAACATAATAATTTCTACAACCCCATACTGATAATAAACTTTAAACCTGGGTAGTTGTTTTGTTAACGTATAACTACCACACTTATTTCATATTCTGTCATACCATTAATTAAATTTTAGTTTTTATATGGTTATAAAAATTCTAATGAAATGAATTTATTTGTCTGTTAGAACACATAAATACTGGTACAAAGGGGCACCAGATACATATTCTCCACACAAGTCACATGATTTGCGTGTGCGATGTGATACTATCAGGGTGCTCAAACTGAAGCAGATAGTTTTCTCAGGGGGTTACACCTGAAGCTTTCAAGGTAAAGGTCTGATCTAAAAGGCAGTGGAGCAACATCAGGAGATAGAGTCCCATGGTAGCTGGTGACTAACAATCGGTTCATATGCCATTTGTTCCTTCAGGATCCTGGAGCCCATATGCATCATTAGTTTGAAATCAGTGTTTTTCAACTCTCCTAGGTGGACTCTCGGTGTCCACAAACCCGGAGTAAGCGCCGGACATTCGCTTTTCATCCTCCCGATTTCGTAAGCAACACTCGTGTCACGAGAAGACAGTGAGTAGAACTTCCCTTGCAGAAGCTATATACGCGTGGCCATGTGAGAGCATTGGGAGAGAGAGAGCGAACTCTTCCCACTGTCAGCCGTACCAGGGCATTTGGGAGCTCTGTGGAAATGAATGTGATATTTCAGTATAGTTTATGTGTAGCAGCCAGTAAATCTTCAGGACGAGTGTTTCATTCTAACTAAACTTGTGAGCTGGATGTTCCTGGATCTTAATTTATTGAACATTAAGTTTTATATTAAGATAATGAAAATTTTTTAGCTTAGATAAAATTCAGTTTAATTGCAAAGCTCTTGTTATTGTTCAAAACACAATATGATTAGCTTTTATTTAATATAGAAGTAAGTCTTTTAATTACCACACAAGTTTTAACTCAATTTGTTCTGATAACCTTAATTGTAATTGATTGGATTTCTAGGTCTTGTTGTTTCTATTTGCTTTCCAATTTGAATGATTGTCTTGATTAATTCATTTTTGACTATATAGTTGATTGATTTTCTTCAAATGGGTTAACCTAGTGGATCCATATAGATGTATCTATTTTGATGGAGTTTTGTTCTGTGAGCTGAATGGTTTGGTCGTGGAACTTTCACCGTTCTTCTGAACGACATCGTCAGTACAAAATTCAGGATATAATCTATGGTTTCGGATTGATTTGTTTTGTATATTTCTAGGAAATTACTAACACTCAGAAAGCCTCATACGTCTAGAATTTCAAAGGTTTATAAATGGACTTCATTGTTTGTCATTAACTACTTGAAATGACTTCAGTGACCCTAACATCTTATCCTCTTAATCTTAGCTTATTTTCACGTGTTTAAAGTTGAAGAGAGAGTGTGTGTGTATCTTCGTTTTTCTGAATAGAATATTTCTCTCATTTTATTCTCTTTTTTTGTGAAACGGTATTCTCCATGTTTCCGTTTCCTTTTTGTGTCTTTCGATTTGTAATACCAATATGAAATACCCCCAAATGCTCTTACATGGCCACGCGTATACGCCCACTGACAAAAATGACATACCCACTTCCTTCTTACACCGGGGGTTGTGTTTACGAAATTGGGAGGATGAAAAGCGAATGTCCGGCGCTTACTCCGGGTTTGTGGACACCGAGAGTCCACCTAGGAGAGTTGAAAAACACTGATTTCAAACTAATGATGCATATGGGCTCCAGGATCCTGAAGGAACAAATGGCATATGAACCGATTGTTAGTCACCAGCTACCATGGGACTCTATCTCCTGATGTTGCTCCACTGCCTTTTAGATCAGACCTTTACCTTGAAAGCTTCAGGTGTAACCCCCTGAGAAAACTATCTGCTTCAGTTTGAGCACCCTGATAGTATCACATCGCACACGCAAATCATGTGACTTGTGTGGAGCATATGTATCTGGTATTGGATGATGGTTGGAGGTAGTCGACAGGAAACCCCGGACCCGGGTTTCGTGCTACTTGGCACTCGTCAGCAAGATGTACCTGTAACCTCCAACCACCATCTAATCTCAACATATAGTGCCCACGGTGTCGAGTCGCCTAGACTGGTGGCCACATTGCAACATGATCGATAGCATCCGATCTGCACTAATAAGGACTAGACACGCATGACATTGATCACCACCCAGTGATCAATCAATTGTGATTACATCTCAGTCCTACAGGAGGCTAGACACGGCTCGGATAGCTCAGTGGTAACGTCTCTGACTGTAAAGCTGGGTGACACAAGATCGAATCCGCCAGGGAGCACCAGTTCCCTCAAGATTACAGGTACATCTTGCTGACGAGTGCCAAGTAGCACGAAACCCGGGTCCAGGGTTTCCTGTTGACTACCTCCAACCACCATCTAAATCTCAATACATAGTGCCCGCAATGTCGAGTCACGTAGACTGGTGGCCACATTGCAACATGATCGATAGCATTCGATCTGCACTAATAAAGACTAGACACGCATGATATTGATCGCCACTCAGTGATCAATCAATTGTCATATGTATCTGGTGCACCTTTGTACCAATATTTATGTGTTCAAATAATAATAATAATAATAATAATAAATATGAAATAATTAGATTTGTTTGTTATGAATTTAATTGTAATTTAAGTTCATATGCTAATTATACTTAATCATCCTTTGCATAAATGTAA